GCAGAGGGGAGCAGCAAGGGGGAGCTGTGCCCACCTGAACCAACGTTCCATCCTTGATGAATATCCTTTCAGTGCTACTACATGGACTTTCTTTAATTAAATGTTATATGGTCTACAAGTATCGCATTTCATTCAGTCTCAAGCTTCAGCCTAAATCTGTATGAGGCTTAGCTTACAATAGTGTTCGTTCTTCAATATGATATAAGCTTTTTTGAGGGCAAGGACTGTTTTGGTTTTTTTTTGTCTTTGTATCTACACCATCTAGAGACCATCTACTGGCACTTAGTACTATGCACTTAAGAAATTTTTTATTGGTTTAATGAGTGAATGAAAGGTCATGAAGCAAAGAAGACCTTGGATGTTAAAAGAAAAGCAGTTTCAGCCCTTTATCTCCATAAATCTCTTTTGTATCCCTCAGCACAAATGAGATATTTGTTGAATAAATTAATGTGTTGATGATTGATCAAGTTTTGGTAAACCAATTCATACTTTTAACAACAATAATAATAGCTGGCATTTGTATAGCTTTTTAAGGTTTGCAAAGGGTTTTACAAATGTTATCTCATTTCATACCTTAGACATGCCAAATTTACTGTCCTCACAACTCCTGGAATTAACACATTAAATTACAATTTAACAGATTAAAACATAATTAGGAAACATTTAAAAAATAAAAATATGACATAAATAATATTAGTTTATGGTTTTCCAAGATAATGTGTGGCCTGCAGGAATCCTTTTCTAACTTGAGTTTGATGCCTCTGCCTTAGAGGGTTTCCTCTGTAAAAATCCTTTGGAGCCCTTGGAGAGTCATGATTCACAGTCATATGGCATCACTGTGAGAATACTAGGATTACAAAGATGGCCTTTACTGCAAGGAGAGATTAGAATCAGCAAAAATGTTGAGCAGTTTACCAAATGTGGTCCAGCCTACTTTTTCTCTTACTCAATTTTAGATCCACACCTATGAGATCATAAATCTATCAAAGTACAGATGAGATGCTTACTGGGAAACTTGCAATGAATCCTTTTGTAAAGCAAAATGTATTTTTGTAATGTAAACAAATATTCTTCAATTTATGCCATGGGTTTTCTTAGCCATTGCAAATATTCTCCAGATTATTCTACCTGCTTTAAATTTCTCTCCTCTCCAACCCACCCTTTCCAAATGCTGCCAAAATAAACTTCCTAAGGCAGATATCTGACCATGTCATTGCCCTATCTAAAACGTTCAGTGGCGTCTCATTGCCTGTGGTGTAAAATACAAACCTAACATTTAAAGACCTCCACAGGCTGGCAGCCTACCATTCCAAAGCCTTCAGAAACTACCCCACAGGCGGGGTCTGGGGGAGGCATTAGGGAGGGAGCTGCAACCAAGACTGCGCCACCACCTCCATGATCCAGTGCAGCTGGCCTTGCTGTACTTCTCACGTGACCCTCCCTGCTTTTCAGAGGCTGTCCCCCATGCCCGGAATGTTCTTCCTTCTCTCCTCTGCCTCTTGGCTTTTCTGGCTTCTTTCAACACTCTGTGCCAATCCCACCTTCTGCAGGAGGCCTTCCCTCCGAGGCGACCTTCCCATTTCCATGGTTCTTATCTGGTAAATAAAGTCATTTGCATGTTGTCTCCCCCCATTGTCTCCTTTTGGGCTAGGGCTGTGTTTTTTCCCTTTCTTTGTATATCCCCTGGGCTTACTTAATAAGCATACGATGTTTGTTGGCTGATTGGATCTAAGTGTATTATGTATGCTTCAGAAGTTTTCCCTTTGTGTTGCTCACTGCTCTACTCCTGATTTCAAATATGTCCCAGTTTCCATTGATTCCTCTCCCCCCTCTCCCCCAGTTTTGTTCAGCTCCTCCAGCACTACGCGATTTCACCCTCCCACTCTAATTCTTTCATGTGCCTGGAACGTTCTCTTTCCCCCCTCCTGACTCAAATGTCTTTTTTGATGCCATGTCATATGGTACTTGTGTTACTCATGTAATGCTGTTATAATTATCAGAATTTGGGTTATTCTACACGACTGTAAACTCCATGATGACAAGGAACCCAGGTTTAACTGAGGTTTGAATCTGCTCCACAACCAAGCACAGAACTGTACACAGTAGGTGCTTAATAAATATTAGATGAACAAATGAATGAGTCAGTCGAATGTGAACCCCTCCCCAAACCCCCAAGACCTGAGAAAGGCCTAAAACCTGGATTGGCCAATCAAGAGAGAGACATTTTGGCACACTCTGAGCTTAACCTACCGTGATGCTTTGTGTGCTCTGGCACACATGCTTTGCTTTGCTCTCTGAGTGAACCCAAAATGCCCCTTCCTGTGTCAGCAACTACAGTCTTGACCCTAGACTTTTCAATCTGACTCCATCAGATAAGGCTCTTACTCCTACCCCCTCCCCTTTTCCCCAGATATTCCTTTTCACTAAACATTCTTTTACTCATCCCCACCTATTTGCTCTTGGGGGCAATGGAAAAAGTGCTGGGTCTGGAGTCAGGAAGACCTAAATTCAAATCTGCTCTCAGACACTAACTGTGTGACCCTGGGCAAGTCCCTTAACCTCAGCTTTCCTCAGTTTCCTCAATTATAAAATGGGGATAAGAATAGCACCTATCTCACAAGGTTGTTATGAGGATCTTTGCCTGGAACATAGTAGGTGCTTAATAAATTTCATTAACTGTTTATTGACTTATTGAAGTGAGATATTTGTTTTTAAAAAAAGCACTTAGCACAGTGCTTGGCCAAAACAAATGCTTATTCCTTTTCCTTCCTGCTCCTTTGCAGGTTCTCTCCCTTTATTTGTTTGCTTTCCTTTTTTTGGTTAGGCAATGGGGTTAAGTAACTTGCCTAGAGTCACACAGCTAGTAAGTATTAGGTGTGTGAGGTCGAATGTGAACTCAGGTCCTCCTGAATCCAGGACTGGTGCTCTATCCACTGCGCCACCTAGCTGCCCTCTAGGGTTCTCTCCCTTTAGCAGCAACTCCGCCCTTACTAGCTCTTTCAGTGGCCTCGCCCTTTGCCTTTAACAACTCCAGGCCCTTCCAGGTACCTCCCCCTTTGCTAATCTCTCTCCTTACTAACACCTCTTTTTCTTGGCTCCGCCCCTTCAGGACACAGTGCGGCTCAGGCCTCGCCCCCTCGCGGCCCGCGGGCCCCCCCCCCCCCAGCTGCGCAGGTGTGGCTGTTCCGGCCTCGGTCAGCAGGCTCTTGACCGTTGGGCTCTGCGGGAGTCGTCGCCGCCCGTTGCCGTGGCGCAGCGTGGGGGGGCCGTTGGGAGGTGGCAGTTTGTAGAACTGTCCACGTGGGGCTTGGAGCTGGGAGCCCGGGCTGGTCCCGAGGCCATTGCTTGTCCGGAGCGCGGGTGGCCGTGGGTCGAGGCAAGTTTGCTACTTCTGTGGGAAGAGTGGGGGGGAGGCCAGGGACTGAGACCCCCGGGGGCTCCGCGGACCTTCGGACTGCCCCAAGGGCGGCCTCGTAGAGGTGGGGCAGGTCAGGGAGAGGTACAGGGGCGGGCCAGGAGAGACCCCACGGGGCTGAAGGGGCCGAGGGAGAAGATCCTCCCCCCTCACCTGGGGGTCTGGGGTCTGCAGGGCTGGCGGGTTCCGGGGTTGCAGTGCTCTGCTAAGCCAGGTTGGGGAGAGGCAGGGCGCTGGCCTTGCTAGTTGGGGTGTCTGTGGGGGGCGGGGAGGGGTCTCTCCGGACTGAAGACCACCGGGGAAAAGGGGAGAGACCCTCGAGGGGTTTTTGTGTCAGGCTGTCCGGGGGGAGTGGTCTGGGTAGCCTGGGAGGGGTCCCTAAAAGGTTGACCTGCTGAGCTACCGGAAAGTTTTGAGGAGCAGTGACCCCATCGTTGGAGTTCTGAGGAATTCTATGGACTCTCGAGAAGCACCCTCGAAGGCTCCCCTGAGCTGGAGGTGCAGGGGAAGCAGGGCTTGCTTTGGGGAAGGATCCAGCTATGATAAGGCTCCCATGGCTTGGTTTTAGCGATGGAGATGCCTAGTGTTGCAGCTGCATGGTCGTGTGTTTGCAACGTGCTTTTGTTGTCTGAAAGTTGGCGAGGATGGAATGTGGTCCAGCTTATTAGAGTAAAGTATAGAGAACCACTCTTACCCCTCCCCGTTCTCCTCACCTTCTCCCTAAGTGTCCTTGAGCCACCTTCCCTCTCTACAATGAGAGGGTTGGATTAGGTGATCTCCCAGGTCTTTTCCAAATTGATAAATGAGAAAATGGTTGTAAAACTAGTGTAAGGCACAGAACTGTTAATTAATATGTTTTTTTTTTAATTTGAGTAGCAAGCAAAAAAAAAAGTATAACTGGAAAAAACGAAACTAGCAAAATAGTAGTTCTTAAGTCATCATTGGAGGCACTTTTTTAAAACCCAGTGTACATTAAAAAATGTACAGATAAAAATGGATAAAAATGTCCATAAAAATGGACAGATAAAAATCTGTCCTTTATAATTACGTATCTATTATAATGTATAATGTTTATAATTTTATATCTATTGTTAATTTTAAAAGGCTTCTGCGTAGCCTAGGTACAGACTAGAGAATACTGGGGTCTTCGGCCCTTTGAATTAATGATGTGCTTTAGGACTACAAAAGCATTTTTGGTTGTGTCCATGAAATACTAAAAGAACCAGAGATAGTCATCTATTACAACCAATGGTGCCTCTTTAAAGGATCCTTTGGAGCATTCTCTGAAAGCCAGGAGATTTACACAGCATGGTTAGGATCTGCACAAGTGGGTGAAGAATCCACATTGATGAGATCGGGAGTCTGGGACTTGTTTCTATGAGAGAGCAATAACTTTCAAAGCTTTCTGACCAGAGGAGCAGACTTGGAAGACAGGGGCAGAGGAAGGAGTGTTTACTGTGAATGAAGAGAATTATGGAAATAGAATTCCTTAAGGTGGAGGAATAAAGATTTGGGCTTTAATCCAGACTTAATTTATTTCTAATAGTTGATGATATATATATATATTTTTTTTTTTTTTTGCTAGAGTGAGCTGTGCAGATGAAGAATAGTTCAGTAGCTGAAAATGATTGAAGTTTTCATACTTAAGGTAACTATTCTAAAAACCAATTTAAAAATTTTAGTTATAAAATTGTAGTCCTTTTGAAACCTACCGTTACAAATTGGGGCAAAATTTTAGTTTTTAGGTGAGTTAATTTAATTTGCCATTTTAGTTGAGCTAATCCTTGGATAGAGATTTTGTCTAAAAATGTACTGTTTTAAAGCAGTGGTGTCAAATAACAGCCACAGCCATAGTTCTTTCCAGTGTTTTTGTTGTTGTATATATTGTTTTCCTGGTTCTATTTATTTCACTTGGCATAAATTCATACAAGCTTTTCCATATTTCTCTGAATGCTTCATAGTCATAATGTTTTTATATTTATACTTTTAACATTCATTTTTTTAAATTTGGGGTTCCAAATTCTCTCTCTCTCCAGCCCCTCTCCTAGGCATTGAGAAGGCAAGCACTATGAAATTAATTAGATATGTGAAGTCATGCAGAACATATTTCCATATTAGCACCATTTCTTACAAAGCAATAGTACTCTGTTACATTTCTATATCATAATTTGTTTAGTCAGTCTTTCTACGAAGGGCCCTTGTTTATAATTCCTTGCCACTACAAAAAAAGTTGTCAGTTGTTTTTTAGTTGTGTCCAACTCTTTATGACTCCATTTGGGATTTTCCTGGCAAAGATACTGGAATGGTTTGCCATTTCCTTCTGCAGCTAATTTTATAGATAAGGAAACTGAGGCAAACTGAGTTAAGTGATTTACCCAGGGTCACACAGCTAGTAAGTATTTGAGGCCAGAACTCAGGAAGATGGGTCTTTCTGACACCAGGCCTTGCACTCTATCCACTTTGCTACCTAGCTGCCCAGACTTTAAATGAGCTCACATTACAATTTAGATTAGGGAAAACTCAATCCAATCAAATCTGAATTTACAGTTACAAAAGGCAGGATCCTAGTTTTCCCAAGGGCCGTTTGCTGCCAGCTCCTCTAAGTATAGGGCTCACTGTAAACTATTTTGTTGTATGTGAGGCCTTTCTGTGTAAGGTTTATACCTAGCAGTAGGATCTGTGGGTTATGAATACGGACATTTTCTTCACTTTGTTTTATTAGATTGAGAGCAATTTTTCCCATCTTAGTAGTTTACAATTCTCGTGGTAAGTGTTGTCCTTGTACCTTTACCACTTTCCCATTGAAGGCTAGTTACCCATTTAGCTTGGCTGTCAGACTCGTCAGAGATATTTAATGCTCTTTGTTTTCAACAGCAGCCATTCCCCAGCATACCTCACACCCTCCATGAGAGTTCTCCTTCATAACAAAAGCAATTAAGCGAGACTAAGATACACAGAGGTCATTCTGCCATATTCCACATGTGTAGTCATTTTACTTCATTTTACTGGCAGTACTGGAAGTACATTTTACTTCATTTTACTGGCAAGAAAGAAACCTTTAATCAGTTGTTCTCCAAGATGGGTTGTCAAGCTTCCACTGAGTTCAGTTGGTGGTGCTGTTCTCATTTACAGTTGTCATTGCATGTGTTGTCCTTCTGGTTCTTTTGTCTACATTATGTCCTAGTCTTCCTAAGCTGTTTCTCTGAATTCCTTACACTCGTTGTTTCATTCAGCTCAGTAATATTCTATTACTTTCATACATCACTAGATGTAATCTTTTTGATGCTAACAGACAGAACTCAAGGTCTGTGGAAATTTGATAAAGAGTTGCCAGCTCTGGCACTTTGCATTGGCCTGGGAGATGATGATGCTAGCTGTAGCATGAAAGAATAAGGATGAATGGGGAATTTGGATGGTGGCTCTGATTTTTGCAAGGGCCCGTAACTACTTAGTTTCGGTCTGGTTTAGAATAATATGAACTGCATTTTAATTGACATTTGAAAGCCAAACAGTGTATTCCTTGGGTTGTCAACAGTATTACATCCTTTTAGTAGCTCTTGTATAATTTGGAAAAGTGGCCTTTAAAGTGGATTCTGTGTTCCGCATAAAATGGAGCCTGCATTTCCCAGGAACAATGCATTTTGCTAATTTTTAAACTCATGCCTTGCATTTATTTTGCTGAAGCAGGATTCTGAAAGGCTGGGGTTTTGCTAATGTTAAATATGTCTAAATTAAAAAGCAGCTTTGATGGTTTAATATTATGGATAGAGTTACAGGACTTTGTGGACTATTTTTTTACAATCCTATGTGTTTGGAAGTGGTGTTAAGGGTGGATAAGCAATATATTGAGCTTAAGCAGAGACATGATTTATACCAGTTGGTGAAGTTGTTTAGATTATTATATCCAAATGGTGGTTTAAGTACCTTATCTTCATCAGAGAAAAACTGTTTCATAATCACGCACTGCACTCTAGTTTTTTTGGCTTGTCTTGGTCTTAAGGCAGACTGGTTAAATGTGTCCACAATGCATTGTTAGCCATTACCATTACCAGATTCAGTAACGTAATCTTTGCAGACAGAGAACAGGATGTTAGCTGAAGTCTCATTAGGTTCTTCTTTGATGACTGAGCTTTTAGGTCATCAGTTAGAATTGTCTGTTCAGAGCTTCAGAAGGGGGACATCATGAAATAACAGGAGTATAAAAAAAAAACTAAAAAAAAAAAACTTAAGACGTTGATTGCATTAGAGTTTTATATTGTCAGATTGATGCTTCCAAATGGAGTGGAGAGAAGGTACAGTTCATTAAGAAGTCATTTCTATTTGTATTTATAATATACTAATACTTTTCTAGTTTTCTTCCCCTGGCTAATTTGCCCTGCTATTCAGTTCATAAGCCTTTCCCCTTAAGAAATGAATAAGATTTCTTAAGATCCCTTAAGAAATGAAAAAGAGGTCTATTAGATATTATTTTATAATACATGTGTTATATGTATATTATTATGAGATCTATTAAAAGTATATTTATATTTTGAAGGCTTTTTAAAAGAAATATATATCATGATAGGGAGATTTTATATATTTTGTGGTCCTTTAAAATCACTAATTTTGTTTCTTTTTAAAACTAGATTGAAGATCCTGGATGCTTCTGGGTTATTATAAAAGGATGTGGTGCCTTTTTAGATCATGAAATGGAATACCAAAAGTTAAATATTGAAATGAATGCCTTCTATAATAGTGAATATAAAGATGTAGAAAAAGTAAAGCCGTTACTCTTGGAAGAAGGACAGGTAAGTATTCTTATCAACATAATTTTGAAATATGGACTAAATTGTTTTGAAAAAAACCTCAAGTGATGGAGATGGGGAGAAAGGGAGTGTGTGTGTGTGTGTGTGTGTGTGTGTGTGTGTGAATATGAATGTGAGAGAGTACCAGAGTTCAGGTCCTGCCGCACTACTTATTAATTGTATGATTTTGATCAAATCCCTTAAATCCACTGAGCCTCAGCCTCTTCATCAATGAAATGGATATTATATTTGTATTGCTAAACCTACAGGGTTGTTTTGAGGTAAGAGATGTGTAAACTGATAAAGCACTATATACAGTGCACTACTGGTCTTTTTGCTACCTTGAAGTTAAGCATAGGCATTGTGTTTTGAAACTTGTTTTTTATTTGAAGTGATAATACATTTCCTTTACTCTTCTCTTTCTTCAAAACTTTTCCCAAGTCAAGAGGCAGCAAGATGTAGTAGTGTGCAGAGCATTGAACTAGAAGTCAGAAGAGCTGGTTTCTATCCTCAGTTGTGCCACTGATGAAGTCACTTTAATAGCTTTGCTGAATTGCGATTTCCTTATCTGCAAAAATAAAGAGTTTGCATAAAATATTCTCCAGTGCCTCTTTTAGTTCTCTAATTCTTTGATTCTGTGATTTGTGATGTTAATATACAACCAAGAAACTTTTATCTGTTTGTTTTTGCAGGCTTGTGTGGTTTATTGTCAGGAACTGAAGTGCTGGTGTAGGGCAGTTATTAAGTCAATCATGTCCTCTGCAGACCATTATTTGGCAGAATGCTTCCTGGTGGATTTTGCCAAATATATTCCTGTAAAATCAAAGAAGTATGTAGACTTTGTGAGCCTTTCTTTTTTTTTTTTTTTTTTTAGGAAAAATTTTAAATCTGCATATTAACGTATTGGAGTACAAGGTCTTTGGTGAAAAGATTAAAGGAACTGGTATTATATAGCTTTGAGAAGGAAAGACTAGCTGGCTCAACTCTGTATTCAGTGATTGGAGGAAAAAGTAGGCCATAGGGATCAGACAAAGGATACTTTTCTTCTCTTACCCATCTTTTTGCAGGCTGTACTTAAATCAAAACTAGGACATCACAGCTCTGAAAAAATGCAAATCCTGGAATTATGCCTGTAGGGAGCTTGGCTGTAATAAAGAACCTCCATGTAGACTTAGAGAGAAGGGTTCTCTTAGCTCTGTGATTTTTGTGATGATCTATTTCTCTGCTAGAACCTTCCTTATTTTCTGTTTAATTTTCTTGTTTTAGTGGGAGCTATTTTGTTAACAGGTGCATAAATAATTTAGATTTTCTCTTAGAGTTTGGTTCTTTTGAGAAACTGTCACACCATAAATTTGGTTAGTTTCCAAGCAAAAGAATGATAGAATTAGATTTTGAAGGCACCTTATTTGGCATCTAATATGAAACCTCCAAACAGCAGAGTACCTAAGTTATCCAAGAGATAGGAGATGCTTTATGTTTAAGGAAGTTCGTTAACTGTGTTATGTAAGTAACTATTTATTCATGCAGATGATTATACTACAAATGCTAAGGGACCACTTTAGTTGGAAAACAGATTGTCATAAGTTTTAGAAGAATTGAGATTAAAATGTTGAATATGGTGTTATCAATGCCCCATCCCTCCACCTGTTACATACCAAGTTAGCAAATAGTATAACTGAGGTGCTCATTTGCCAAAATACTTGATAAAAATTTGTACTGGGTACTAAAAATTGAATTAAAATGTTTTATTAATCAATGAACCTTCTAATTTTTATCCATTTTTGTTTTGTTTTTGCTACCTAAATGTACTTTAGATGTTATGACTCTGAGTTCTTTAACCCTTTGAGATTTAATTTGACAAAAAGAAGTACTGATTTATGTGTGGGTTCTTTATATAGCTGTAAATGCCCTGAATTAATCATGTTTGAGAGAAATATTTTATTGTTATCACCTTTTTATGTATGAATGAAATGTCATTTATTAAGTGTTTACTTTGTACCCAGTATTTATGCAATGAATCTATATCTGTTTTGCTATTGTTAAGCATCCGAGTTGCAGTAGAAGCTTTCATGCGACTTCCTTATAGGGCAAAAAAGTTTAGACTATACTGCACAAAACCAGTCACGTTACATATTGACTTCAGTGAAGATAATGCAGAAATCGTGTAAGTATGGCTTCTTAGAAATATTGAATAGTCTTATATTCTTTAATCAAATGTAAAATATTTAGATTACACCTTTTCACTGGTGTTAAGGTTTGCCAAAGCGATATTTTTAGTATGATGTGTGAATCCTGTATATTCTGTTTCCTTTTATAAAATTCTTTCATATTTCACTTGAGCAAAAGTTCCCTAAAACTTGGCAGAATGAACCTTCCAACTATACTGCCTAATATTTAATTTGTCTATAACTGAGCTTATGGTTGCCCGAGTATATTCTTGAAGTTCCTTCTAGTTATTCTAATTATTATGAATAACTGAAAATTGTAAGACATTTGTAATGCAAATAGTTTCTATTCCTGGGCTACTCTTTTACTCTCTTTCTTTTTCAAAAACTCTGCTTCCCTGTAACATTGTGTTGATTCTTTCTCTCATTTTCAAATTTACCCCTTTTTCTTTCTGTTTCCTGTTCAACAAACATTTATTGAGTCCCATTCACTCATCACCTTCTCTTCTTTCCTTCTCCACTAGTCACTTTGTCTCCCTTTCCTGTGGCCTCTTCTCTGTCTGTGATGCTTCCTTTCCATATCGTCTTTACCTCGTCGTGCCGTGCCATCCTTTTCTTGAGCTACTGAGCTATTTTCTGATGATACTTAAGCTCTTCTTCTAGCCTTGCTTATTTCTGCCTCACATGATTCCTTGGATTATAGTCTCTTATTCCTTAACTCCTTTAGGTAATCTGTTTTTTCTTTTATTTATCCCTGTCATTGTCAACCTTGTCCTCCTCTCCCTGATATGTTATTTCTAGCCAATCTCTACTTCTTGCCCTTTCTACCACTTTCTTGTTCCTTAATTGATGCTTCAGATTTACTTCTTTCCCTGTTCAGCTGTGTCACAACTTTACCTCCTCCCTGGCCTCTGCCTTCTCATTTATCCTTCGTCTCTTGTCTCTGATCTGCCTTTTCATTCTCCTTTACTTGCTTTGGGAGTTGTTTCAGCATTTCTTCCAACTCAACTCATAAATGCAGGGTATCATCTAGTTCATTATTCTTTCCTTGACGGTGACATTTTAGAGTAGAACATGATAGCTGTCCTCTAATCATCATTGAAAGGTAAGAATGTACACTGAACCTACTTAATTTTCCCTTAGGAAGCCTTTTGATTTGTCATTCATTGCATTATTTAAATGCTTCATGACTTGGTGCAGCTAGTCTCTTGCTAGGCCTGTTTGTCTGGCATACATTCAGCACACATATAACATCTTTCCTGTGCGCTTATTTTAGAGACAAAATTAAGCTATCATTTGTATATTATGTATAACATATAGACATGTAACGTGTGTGTGTGTGTATGTATCAAAAATGTCCCAAAAGTCTTAGTGTAAATTTAGGCTTATTAAAACTTAAATATGTTATTTAGAAATTTCTTATGGGACAGGGATTCTTAAGGGAAATGTGAACAGTTCTGCAATCCAAATTAGGGTCATTGCTGATAGTACTTAGTAAGGTAATAGGAACGAAGTTCTTAGTTCTAATCTCCTTTCTCCTGGATAGACAGTATCCAGGAATACTGTGTTTGGTTCTAGTTGTCACAATTGGCAAACTGATAACTATCCAGAGGAGGGAGGGTGACTAGGATGACAGAAGATCTGAAATGAGGCACTGACTGCTACTCCAGGCATAGCAATGTTCAGTTCTTCTCCTTTAGTGTAGACAGCAGCACCATAGGATAGACTTGTCATGGTCATCAAAACCATCTCTACTACCCACAGAGGGAAAGGGTTTTTATATCCCCTCTTATCATTATATTCAGGCTATTAGATAGATAGATATATGTATGTGTGTGTATATATATATATATTTTAAATGTTTACTGATGCTTTTTTATACAGCACAGTCATTTCCCAGTGACTCCCCCTTCTAAGATAACCCTTTTGTAACAAGTACAGTCAAGTAAAGTAAATCAACAATATTAAAATTTAATGCAAAAAACCCACAAAATTAAGAACAATCAATATCAGGTGGTTCTTATGATAATCCTTACAGTGAAAAAATGAATTTATTTGTGTTCAATATTTTTCTAGACCTGCTAAGAAATGGGATGGTGCTGCTATTCAGTACTTTCAGAATATTCTAAAAGGTAAGACAAGTAAAAGAAGAAGCAGTCCTTATGATTATGCATTCTTACTTGTTTGGATTTCATATCATAGTTACTTTTAATTTGATAAGGCACTTTTTCAAACACTGAAATGATCAAATTCATGAGAGAGGAGAGAGAAGGGCCTGCTATGTAGATAACTAAAGATTTCATAAAAATTACTGTTTTCTTCCTAAATTTGTCAATATGTCTGAATTTTAAAATTGTAGTTAGCTTCTTTATATCATGAGTAGGAAAAAGCATACTAGTAATTCTAGCGTGGATATGAATGTTTACTTTGTAACTAGCAGTAGATTGGGTGCCTGTGTATAATACATGATCCCTGCTTTCAGTGTGATTGTTAGACAAGAAATAAATAGCATATCTTATGAGGTACTACAAGATTGTTAATTGTATACTATTCACCATAAGTATTGTAGGAATTTTAATGTGGAGGAAATAGGCCTTGAATTGGGTCTTGGGTGGATAGGATTTGTTTAGATGGATGAAAGGGGAGGGGGCACGAAATGTTGTAGGAGAGTAGGACTGGTGTAAACCGCAAGTAGAGTTGTAAATATTGGAATAAGTAGGGTGGGGGGGGGTGTCGGGGGTGTGTGTGTGTGTATGTGTGTGTGTTTTATAGGAATAGGCCAGGGAATGCACTGATGTCCTCTAGTCTGAGGACCACCATAGCAAAGTCCAAAGACATTAATCACCAGAAGATTGGCTGTCATCTCATGAATTTAAAGCCACTATAATTCATGAAAAACCTATATATAGAAAGATTGTGATCTGTATCAGTAAAAGGGGGTACCCTCTTTGATGCAAGCATAGATCTTGGAAATACTGAAAAACGTTGCAGCATTTGCAGGAAGAGCTATGATACAGTTGCACTAGTCTGGGTATGACAGGAGGGCCAGTACGTCAGGGTCTTGGTCCTAGGAATTTACAAAGATAAATCTGACAGATGTTGGAAAGGAAGAAATGACAAAACTTGGTGATTAGCTGGATATCAGTTTCAAAGGAGAGGGAAGAAGGAAGAATAATCTCGAGCGTTTTGAGGTTACAAGAAAGAAGTTGTCATTTTACTAGAAATGGTGTTAATTTTGGAAGGCACTGGTTTGGGCCCAGAGGTTGGGAATATGATGAATTTAGTTTTAGTCATTTCAAGTGATAATGATGGAGTATTTCAGTAGAATTGTCCTGTATAGGCATTTGGATATATGAGACATTTGTCTCTGGAGTCATTTGTTTGACTTAGTTAACAATACTAAGGTAAAAAAGGTGATTTCTCTGAGGAAATTAGTGTAGAAGCATGGAGCAAAAGCCCAAGGATTGAGCTTTTGTGGTTCATATGAGTAAAAGTAAAGATGGTCCAACAAAGGATACAAACCCATAAAGTATAATAATGAAAGGAATCCCCATGTAGGGAGCTTCCTTATACTGAAGATTCATTTGCCCAGAATTCTCAGGCTTAACATTCATTTTAGCTAGCAGTTATTGAGTACCTTCTCTGTGCCAGTCGCTGAGAGTACAAAGATGAAAATGAAACAGTCCCTGCCATCAAGGACCCGTTCTCTCTCACTTCTGTAATGCCTTGCCTTCATTTTAAACCTTATTTACTGCCCCCCGCCATTTTTTGGGGGGAGGTTGCAGAGAGTTATCATGGATGGTTGTTAGGACTTCTTTTGCTGGGAAGAGTAGGGGAGATTTTCAAGTTAAAGGTACCAGGTGATAGATGTATAAAGAAGAGTGCAAAAGAAAATGATCTGATTGTTAGCATGGTCTTTTTAATGCCAATTAGCATAGTCATAAGTTCTAAAAAATTAAAAGTTGAATGATATTTAATTTGAAATTTCAAAGATATTTTTGTTTTATTGCCATATAAATGACACTTCTATTATTTATACTTAGCAACTACACATATTGAAGCGAAATTATGTGGTATGGAAGAAGATATTTTTGATGTTTACCTTTATGTAACTATAAAAAATGAAAAGGTAAGTCAAGATCAATTTGTAGTGGAAAAAATTCTGGATTTGGAATCATACACTTTTAGAATTTTAAAGTGGAAAGAAGCATCAGAAGCCATAGAATCCACCTGTTACTTGTTACCTGTCCCTTCTAATGATCAGGTCCAGCCCTCATAGAACTTGTGAGGGGGAGCCGTTATCTGCCCAAAGCAGCCAGCCCATGCCACTTTGGAATACGGCTAATTGTTATGAAGTTTGTTTTTTTCTTGCGTCAAGCCTAAACTTGCCTCTTGTCAACTTTCACCCTCTTCCTTCCAATAGAGAAGAAATCTAATTCTTCCAAAGGCCAGTGCTTTAGATGCTTGAACAATACTTTATTTTCCCTCTTAAATCTGTTTTTCTCCAAGCCAAATATTCCTAATTCTAACCTCATATTCCTAGAACTTGAGTCACTTCAGTATTCTGGTTACCCTACTTTGTCTTAACTAAAATGTCGTGCCTAGGACAAAGCATAGTATTCCACATGTGACCTACTCAAGACAGAATGTAGCATTAGCCTGCCACCACCTTATTTCTGGGTGCCATGCCAAGGCCACATTAGCTTTCTTAGGTGCAGCGTCACAATGTTGACTTGTATTGAGCATGTAATCCACTAAAATCCTCAGATTTTTTTGGGGGGCGGCACAGGGAAAGATGCTCAAATATATATATTTATGTGCTATCACATTATTTCAGTGCACAGAAGAAAAAGGGCAGAAGGGAACAAAGAGTAGTTTTGTTACCACTTTAACATATACAAACTATTAAAAACTATACATATCAAGTTTATAATTAGTTATATAAGCCTCTTTGTAAATTGAAATGCTTCTATTAGATTGTTTATCAGAAAATTTTTAGAAATTTTAAATATATATAAACTGTTGTCCTGCTCTCCTCCCTCTGTTGTGTTTCTTTTGAATAGAGTATATTCTTCCTGAGTCATATTCTAGTTATGAGTTTCATCCTATGCTTCTTCCGGTCCAGTGATTGCTATTTTGTTATTCTGCAATGCTGCTTATATTAATAGAATATTTTGTAGCTATAGTAAACTAAAATTTTGTCCTAATTGAGTTAGGATGATGTTTGAAATATAGCCTTAACTGACTTTTATGTGTCTCTCAACTTTGTGATGGATTTGACAGATTGTCTTTTACTTTTAAAAAATATCCAAAATTGGAATTGAGGCATTGGGGACAAAAAGAAAGTAGGAAAGCTTATCTCCTCTATCAGCCAAGCCCTTGTTGTTCAAAAAGTTGGTAGCCTGAAAAAACATGCTGGATGGCAGGGGAAAGCCAAGCTACCCTTAGAAATTTGACCATAGATAAGTGAATGTTCCAAAGACAGTTAATTGGGAACTGACTGTTTTCAAATAGAATTATATTAGAATAAAAAGGTATTTGTAGTTCAGTGAAATGTCCCTAATTTAGACTCAGATCAGTCTGAATTATAAAATTTTTTTTAAAATGCATTTGCATTACTTTAAGTTATACATATTAACTCATTCTTGACTGACTAAACTGTAAAAGTGATTAGAAATTGTGTCTGTTTTCTTTTATAATAAATAAAAATTATAATTAGGCATATCTATATAAATACCTTCAGACATACTTGAAGATGCTTTAAAAGGTTTTTTCCCCTTTATGCAGTATTTTAAACACTTCTGAGTCAGCTTTGTTGGCACTGTTGATTTGCATTGTCGATGAAGAGTGATAGGAATTATGGTGGAGTAGAGGGAGTCAAGAAGATCTTGGCTTCTGTTGGAGCAAATTAGCCTCTCAGTGCCCCAGGAAATTTTTAAAAATCATAAGTTTTTAAAGTTCTGCAGCTACATTGGTAGAGAGGAGTTTTATACCAAAATTCTAACACTAATAGAATCACCAGTCTGAACCCCATTTATTTAACAATCAGTTGTTAAAGCAGTGGTTCTCAAAATGTGGTCTGGAAGCTCTGGGGTCCCTGAGACCCTTCCTGGGGGTCTCTGATGTCAAAATTATTTTCATGATACTTCTAAGACACTTTAATTTCCAATATGGTGAATATCAATAGATATGTAACCCACATAAAAGCTCTTTGGGGTCTCACTGAAGTTTAAGAGTATAAAAAGATTTTAAGACCAAAAAGTTTGAGAACACTATGATAAAGGTAAATATCCCAGTTCCTGTTGATATTTGCCAAAAAAATAAGAATCAATACAGTCCAAATTAATGGCATTTTATTATAGCTATGGATCTTAATTGGGGTGTATGCTAAGACACTATATTTTTAATTGAATCAGATCTGGTCAGCAGAAAATAGCTTTTGAAGATTCAAGGTAGAAATTAAAAATTTTTTAAAGTTACCCCAAATCTGACTAGACACAGGCCTACTATATCCTACAATGCCATTGTTTAAGGTGACCCTCTTAACATCCAGGAGGAGGGCCCCTCACACCCAAATTTTTATCTCCCCAAATAGGTCTAAATCATGGTATGGAAAAACCCCTTCATATCAACTTTCAGAAGAGAAAATGGGGATAGTTCTCACTACTCACTTAAGTCTTTTTGTAACTGAAATGATGCTGGATTTTATAATGTGAATGAAGGATTATAAACATAGCGCAAACAGTAACTTAGAGGTCATCTAGTCCAAGCCCTTCATTTCACAGAAGAGGAAACAGAGACCTAGAGAGGTGAAGTGACCTGTCCGAGATGACACAGGGAGGAGTAAGTAGTGTATCACAAGCAGGATTCTAACCCAGCTCCTCCAGCTTTGCACTACTCTGAAAGACCAGGTCAGGTGTCAAGAGGGGGACTTCAAATGGTTTTTGGAGGGTAAAGAAGATATGTTGCTAAACACATATAAAGAAGTTATTTGGGGTGAAAGAATGACCTATGAGGAGTCTTGGAAGTTAGCAGTAGGTGGGACTGAGGAAGTTGGGGATATCTCAGAAGATGAAGATGTAACTCTCTTCCCTGATCTGTGGCCTTGGGGCGAAGCAGGCTATTCTTTACCATTAGGCACTGTGCCAAATGCCACTTAAAGTTTGTGGTACCATTTAGCAGAATTAACTGTCATTTAGCTTTATTCCTTCTCAATACTTATGTGTTTAATTTTAAAGGTATGTGTTAATGATGATCTGGTTGCAAAGAACTTTGCTTGTTATGTAACACCCAAGGAAAAAAAAATTGATTGTCCAGAGAAAGCTACACCAAAGAGTGTGGAATCCCCTCCAGATAAAATCAATCCTGCACTTGCTCTTTGGCCAATGTTGTTGCAAGAAAAGATTCCTGAAAAACTTGAAAAAGGTATGTATTACTTCACATGCAAAAACATGTTGAATATCTTTATGTTTTTAGTCATCTCTTTCAAAGAGAACTAGCTCAGTATACTCCACTAAAGTCCTATCCTGTTGTGGAGTCAGAGGACCTGAGTTCATATCCTATCTCTGATTCTTACTACCCGTATCACCTTGGGCAATTAACTTAATGTCCCTGCACCTCAATTTTCCCATCTGTAAAATGAGGTTGAACTAGATGGCCTCTTGGGTGCTTTTCAGGTGTAGATCTGTGATCCTGTGACAGCATCACCATTGCTTCATGAAATCTACACCTTTAGACCATGACAGGTCCACTGATGGATTCTTATCTGAGGACCAGCTTGACTGAATTTTATCATTAGGCTAAAAGATTATGAATTGTTCAGGCATAGTTATTCTAGTAGGGTCATAGATTAAATGAGAGAAGGGGCCTTAGAGGTCATCTAGTCTGGGACTTCTTAAACTTTTTTGACTTGCTATCCCATTTCACCTGAGAAATTTTTTTATGTGACCCCCAGTATATATGTATATAAATAAGTATTCAAATCAAACATTTACTGAATAAATCATAAAGAAATTTATTTTAAAACAATTCTTTGGTATACATTTAATTTTACCATTTGTTAAAGACCAAAGCAAATTTGAATACTAATGAGAGATGTGCTTGTTTATTTTTACATAAAGAATTAAATCTTAGTGGAATATTTGATACTGCAAGATGTAGGACGTTTTCAATAGTTTTCAGAGTTGATTGATATTTTGATTTTATAATCCTCAATGCTGAGAACACCACTTCGCGTAAATATGTAGTACAAAATGGCAGAAGTGTGTTTAGGGCCATTTCAAAAATTGTTAGAAATTCTGTTCTAATCCCAAGCCAAAAATCATTAAACAATTTTTTGGGAAACTCAAGTTTTTAACGTGTTACTTGATAACTCGGCAGATTCTTCTTGAATTTTTAATGTCAGATGACTGATATTTTTTATTTCAAATGAGTATGGTTTATGAACCCAACTTAGTTTTTTAGAATCAAAATTTGAAGGGAAATATTTCTGAAACTGTGTCTCCAGGCACTTCAGATGGTCAATTATAACTCTTATAATTAAATCTTTGGGAAGTTTATTTTCAATTATAAAATCTTTAGTAGAACTTTCAATTTTATCTTTTAACAGAAATGTTACAATTTTTTTCCTTGAAGCGACATGTTTAACTCATTTAGTTTTTCGAAAATATCTGACAACACACTTTTGAAAGCCATAAGTCATTGTGAAAAAAATTAACAAAATCAGATTTCTCTCAGTCAAAAATATAACAACTTCATCTTTGAATTTCAGTAATCTCTTTTAACTTCACCCTCTTGAGAGCCACATGATTCAACATATTTTATTTTTCTTGTCAATTTAGGTGTACTACAACCTGGTAGCAAAAACTCTGCTGCATCGTCATCAGTATTTTTACCTCTTTTGTCTAAATTTAGCCACTTATCCATAACCAAAAATATTTTTGTCCTAATATAAATAAATATAGCTAATAATTTCTCAAATAAATACTAGCTTTATTTATGAAATTACATTTGTTTGTTCTTTGTTTAAAAAATTGACATTCTGAGGGCAGCTAGGTAGTACAGTGGATAGAGCATTGGCCCTGAAGTCAGGAGGTCATGAGTTCAAATCTGGCCTCAGACCCATGATACTCACTAGCTGTGTGACCCTGGGCAAGTCACTTAACTCTGATTGCCTCACAAAATAAATAAATAAATAAAAATTTAAAAATGATGTTCACACTTACATACATATGTAGCGGTGATGGTGGAGAAATATTATTAAAGGGCTTTTGTCTTGTTGCAATTAAAGATTCATGTTTCTGTAAAAGAAGGAGATAACAGCTATTTAAAAAATAAAACATTCTGTTCTTTTTTCTTTCTTTCTTTTTTTTTTTTTTTTTTGAGGCATTTGGGTTTTAAGTGACTTGCCCAGAGTCATACAGCTAGTGAGTGTTATGTGTTTGAGGCCGGATTTGAACTCAGGTCCAGATTTGAACTCAGATCCTCCTGAATCCAGGGCTGGTGCGCTATCCACTGTACCACCTAGCTGCCCCCAAAATAAAACATTCTAACACAATAAAATCCAAAGATATACTAATCTGATACTTAAATGCTGAGGAATGACGGTAGGAAAATATTAAAAGTCTTTATTTTCATAATTAAACTGTTTTGTTTCTGTAAGAGCAGAAAACTTTGTGTGTACAATAAAAACACTGCAATTCATTATATACAATAGTCTTGATTCTGAGACGAGGTGTTTCTGGCAGCTTTCATTGGTGTTGCGTGGTGTGATGGCACACATAGTGCAAAGTGCGCTTTTGTGTTCAGAACCAAGAATTCAGTGAAGTCATGCGATGCAACATGGGTAAGCACTGCCAGAAACACCTCAGATTCATCACACATTTGATTTTGAATTAATTTTTGGTCATTGCACGTTCAGAAACCTTTTACCGTTGCCAAATTTTTCATGATCCCCACATTCAGTTACGCAACCCCATGTGGGGTCTAGTCCAGTGGTATAAAACTCAAATAGAAATGGATCCATGTAGGTTGCATCTTAACTAAGAAAACCACAAACTAACATTATCTATGTTGAATTAAATTTTTATTTTGTTAAACGTGTACCAGTTACATTTTAGTTTGGTTCCAGTGGGCTGCAGGATGACACTGGGGGTGGGGAGGCGTTGGCCTCTGGTTTGATACCTGTTCTAGTTCAGCCCCCTCATAGAGGAGGGACTGAGACTGAGAAGTGGAAGGATTTATTTAAGGTCACGCCAGGCAGTAAATAGCAGATTCAGGCTATGAACCCTGCTCACTTTGAGTCAGTCAACAACTACTTAAGCACTAACAGCGTGTCAGGCACTATGCTAAGTGTGAAAGTCAGTGCCTTCAAGAAGTGTACATTCTGATGGGGGGAGACATGCACATATCTAAGTATGCAATATTAAGTAGCTGTGTGACCAACCCTCTATTTGCCTCAGTTTCCTGAATTGTCAGATGGAGATAATAACAGCCCTTACCTCCCAGGGTTGTGAGGATCAAACAAATTAATATCTATAAAGCGCTGTCATGGTCAGATCACTTTAGTAAATAAGTGGGGGATTAGCTGGAGTGGAGAGAGACTTAAGGCAGGGAGACTAGGTGAATGCTATTACAGGCATCTAGGTGAGAGGTGATGGAGGTCTCAGTGAGGGGAATGGGGACCTCTGTGAGTGGAGACAGGACTGTAAGCTCCTGGAGGTAGGCACAGTCTTCATTTTCATTTTTGTATTCTCAGTGTCTAGCACATAGAAGATGCTTAGATATTTAATAAGTTAAATTAGCTTAAATTCTAGGAAACTGTTCTACATTGAGATGTAATGTAAAATTGGAAATTGAGGGTTTTCCCCTCAATTGGGGAATGGCTAAACATTGTGGTGTATGATTATGATGGAATACTATTGTGCTATAAGAAATGATGAACAGGATGCTCTCAGAAAAACCTGGAAAGACTTACGTGAGCTGATGTAAAGCGAAACGTACTGTGTACAAAGTTACAGCAATATTGTTTTACATGTTGGCTTCTGTAAAGGTCTTTTCAGATTTAATGTCTATAAATTTAACCACTTATTTCACTCTGCAAATTCATTTTAATGTAGAAGTCAAGCTTGATTTGTTTTATACTCAGATTTTCATATGCAAAATGTTCTTACATGGAAGCAGGCTTTTATTTCTTTTTATTTTTTTTTGTTACGTTTTAAGTTCTGAACTGTCTCACTCTCCAACTGCACTAGAGAAGGCCACCTTTTGATTCAGATTTATAAATATATGTATAACCATACTATGTATAGTGTTATTTATCAGTTTTTTCTCTCAAGGTGAATAGTATCTTCCTTCATAGGCCTTTTTTAGTTAATTTGAGTATTTATAGTACTCAGAATAACTTGGTTCACAATCATTCTTCAAACATTTCTGTTGACAGCATTCTCTTGGTTCTAGCTCACTTCATTTCTTTGTTATTTCATAGAAGTCTTTCCATGTTTTTGTAAAATCAACCAGCTCATCATTTCTTACAGCACAGTAGTATTTTGTCACAATCATATATCACAACTCATTTGGCCATTCCCCACTCAGAGTACATTCCCTCAATTTCCAGTTATTTGCCATCGCAAAGAGAGCTGCTATAAATATTTTAGAATATATAGGTTCTTTTCCTTTTTCTCCATCACCTTGGGAAACAGACCCAATACTGGTATTGCTCTTTATGCATAATTTTAAATTGCTCTACAAAATGGTTGTATCAGTTCACAGTTCCATCAACAGTGTATTAATGTCCCAATTTTTCTACATCCCCTCCAACATTTGTCATTTTCCCCTTCTGTCATTTTAGCCAATCTGATAGGTGTGAGATGATGTCTCAAAGTTGTTTTAATTTGCATTGCTTTAATCAGTAATGATTTAGAGCATTTTTTCATATGACTATATATAATTTTGACTTCATTGAAAAACTGGAAGCAAGCTTTTAATAAAAAAAGAATGTTGTAACAGGAGAGTTTACTCTTAAAATAGCTGTCTTGGGAGACTTGACAGGTATTCCAACAATGTTGCCATTGTTCAGACTATTTTGGACATTCTTCTTGTAGAGTTTCCCTCCCTAATACACTAACTACACAAGGAAAATTAAGCCTTTTTTTCAGTCACAAATGGCATTACTTAGGTTGATGCTCCTTATTCACCAGCCTTTCTTTCAGACCTTAGACCATTTTCAAAAATGCAGCCTTACGAACCATAAAGATTTTCCACCATTAAGCATAATTAGAAAGACTTGCCTCAAGCTCATGAAAAGTTCTGAGGTGGTCAGCCTATCATTCTGCACCTTCTACAGCTGTAGAGCAGCACAATTAAAATTAATGTTTTGAATGATATCCCAGGAGCATTGCAGGACCCTAAGAAGTCAGTAAAGAGAAATATTACATGTATAGTATTTGGAAAACAACTTAAAGTCAAGAAAATGTGTTAATATTTCCAAAAAATTTCCAAAAACAAAGTTGAGAAAAGGGATTGGGGCTTAATTTTGAACAAGTCAGAAAATTCAACTAAATTGAACTCCACATTTTCTGAGCCTTCCATTAGGTTTCATTATATCCTCATTTTTTTTCCCTGTCTCTCATCTGTACCCATATCATTTTCAAATGTTTTGTGTGACAATTTGTTTATTTGCAGGTGTGATTTTACAACGTAATGGACTTTCATTAGATTTATCCTCTAAAATGAGTGAGAAGATAGAGAAGATACATAAAGAAAAGGAGTGTATGTCTTTAAAAGAAATAAATAAAATTGTAAGTATTTAAAACTTAATTAACAGAAAAGCTTATAGTTTTTTTATCTGTAATAAGAACAAAAACTTTTTAATCTTTAGAGGTACTCAGCTATAACCTGAGCACTATTCTGTGCCTAGTAAATTTAGCAATCGTTTGAATCAATATTTTGAGATTCAACTATCCTGTCAAATAGAATCTTAGAGTTGGGACCTCAGCAGCAAATCCTTTCTTTCAATACACTAAGCTTCCATACCCAAAGAGATCAGAGAAATAGGAAAGGAATTCATATATATAAATATACTTATAGTAACTCTTTTTATAGAGGCAAAGCACTGAAAACTTATGAAACAATGCCCATAAGTCGGGGAATGGCTGAACACATTGTGGTACAGGAATTAATGGAATATTAGTAAATACTGCTATAAGAAATGACAAAAGAGTTTTCAGAGAAACCTGGGAATACTTGTATGAATTAATACAGAATGAAAATGAAAGACACTAGGAAAGCAACTTATACAATGATAACAAGATTATAAAAATAAGCAACTTTGAAAGACTTAAGAACTCTGATCAATACAATATCCAGTGGTGATTTCAAAGGACCCATGTGTGCTACCCACCACTTGACATATGAGGTACCAGACTCAAAGTGCAGAATGAGACATACCCTAATATCCTTAGCAAATTGTCACTCAACCGTTGCTTGAAAACCTTACATGACTTAGAAGGCCAGTACTTTCTAAAGGAGCTTACTCCACTTTGGGTCAGTTCTTATTGTTACAAAATTTTGCTTTTCATATAGCCAAAATCAGATACCTTTAGGGGTCTTCAACTTATAACCCTAATACTACATTCTGGCATCAAACAGAGTGAGTCAAATCCCTCTTCCAATATGACAGCCTTTCACATACTTGAAGGCAGCTGCTATCAAGTGACCCCCTAAGTCTAATATTCTCAAAGCTAAATGTTCTTGTTTCCTTCAACTGATTCTTCTGTGGCAGGAGTTTTTAACCTTGGGTCTATGAACATGTTTTTTAAAAAATACTTTGATAACCATGTAGGAATATAATTAGTTTTTTTAATCCTGTGTATTTTATTTTTTTGCATTTAAAAGCATTAGTTTGAGAATGGGTCCATAGGCTTAACTAGACTGCAAAAGGAGGCAATCCAAGACCCAGAAAAGGCCCCTTACCATCATGGTTGCCCTCTTGGATAGTATTTCTATATTGATGTTATGAGTATTGTAGCCTTTTTTTTTTTTTGGCTTCCATGTCACACTGTTGATTGATCTTGAGTTTGTAGACCTTTTCTTCCTAAAAAATTATTCTCTACTCATGTCTTCCCTTCTTATACTTTTGCAGTAGATTTTTTTCCCCACTTAATAGTATTTTATTTTTTCCAATTACATGTAAAGATAGTTAACATTTCATTTTTTTTCTCTTTTTTTCTTTTTATTTTTGGTGAGGCAATCAGGGTTAAGTGACTTGCTCAGGGTCACACAGCTAGTAAGTGTCAAGTGTCTGAGGCTGTATTTGAACTCAGGTCCTCCTTACTCCAAGGCTGGAGCTCTTTCCACTGGGCCACCTAACTGCCCCTCAACATTCACCTTTATAAGATTTTGAATCCCCAAGACAGCAAGCATTCTGATATAGGTTATATATCTACAATCTTATTCAACATATTTCCACATTAGTCATGTTGTGAAAGAAGAATCAGAGCAAAAGGGAAAAACCATGAGAAAGAAAAAAATGAAAGAAAAGAGAAAATATGCTTTGATCTACATTCAGACTCCATAGTTCTTTCCTTGGATGTGGATAGCATTTTCCATCATGAGTCTCTTGGAATTGTCTTGGATCCTTGCATTGCTGAGAAGAGCTAAGTCTGTTATAGTAAGTTATCACACAATGTTGCTGTTACTGTGTACAATGTTCTCCTGATTGAGCTAACTTCACTCCGCCTCAGTTCATGTAAATCTTTCCAAGTTTTTTCTGAAATCTACTTTTGCAATGAATTTTTAAAAAATCCTAATTGTAGGGTTTGGAATTTATTCCTATTAAAGTCCATCTTACCAGATTTGCTTTGGTCTAGCCCATGAAGAAAATGTTTTCTAATCCTGACTCTGTCATCCATTCTCTTAGCTATTCACCTCAGGTTTGTGCCATCTGTAAGTTTGATAAGTAGGTCATTAGTGCAGTTATTAGCTTCTTTGACAAACTGTTGAAAGAGCAAAAGGTTGGTTTGGGCAAGCTCTGTAACCTTCTTTGACCTCAGTTTCATAATTTGTAAAGTGACAGAGACTAGACGACTGCTAAGTGCTAATGTAATTCTGAATCCACCTAACTATAATAGCATCCTATTAGGTATGTGGCCCTAGATAGAGCACTAGGCTTGAAGTCAAGAAGACCTAAGTTCACTTTCTGTCTCAGATACTTACTAGCTGTGTGGACCTGGACAAGTCACTTAACCTCAAAATGGGGGAAATATGGCACCTACCTCCCAAGATTGTCATGAGGATGAAATGAAATAATTTGTAAAATGCCTAGCATGCATGTTGTGGCACATAGGAAGCACTTGATAAAGGCTTCCTTTTCTCTTTCTCCTCCGTCCCCAACAACTCTGGATTTTATTGTCAAGAATAACATAGGAAACTTTAGACAATGCTGTCTTAAAATCCAGATGTTCCATGTCTAAGGCATTCCCCTGATTTACATGTCTCATGACCTTGTCCAGGAAAGAATGAAGTTAGTTTGCATGCATGACCAGTTCCGAATAATACCATGATGCATGTTAGCGAGCACAGTTTCCTCTACATGCCCACAAACCATCTCTTTAATAACATATTCCAGAATTTTGCCATGAATCCAAGACAGCCTCTGCATTCAATAGTTGGAAGACTCTAAACTCAAACTTTTTTTAAAAAAATCAATAGTCTTGTCTCTCCTAATCACCACATTTTTCCCCCACAGAGAGCTAACAATAGCTTTGTTATCACATCTACTAGTTAATTTTAGTAAAAGTTTCATTGATTTATTAAAAATATTATTGTCATTTTCTAACGGATGCTAACAATGTTCCTTTGACCCAGCAGAACTTTTCCCAATAAGAAAGAATTATACAGGGTGTCCCGAAAATCTTACGCAGTTTTAAGCTGTAATAGCAAAACATAGCAACTCTTTTTATAGTAGAAAAAATTAGAAACTAAGTGGGTACCCATTAGTCAAGGAATCGCTGGACTGTCGCATATGAACATAAGGGAATATTATTGCTATGTGGCAGCTTTAATAGCTTAAAATGGCAGTAAGATTTTTGAGACCCCCTGTATTTAAACAAAAATAACTAACAAATTGGCCATGTCTGATAATGTGATGTATTCCATATCTATAGTCTTGTCTATTGAAAGAATAAAGTGTGTTTCACTTTTAGTCCTCCAGAGTGAAAATTAGTCAGTGCATTGCTCAGAGTTCTGTACTATGCCAATGTTTCCCTTTAGGTGATTGTGGTCACTGTGTGACCTGTTCTCTTAGTTCTTTTTATTTCACTCTACATCTGTACATACCAGTCTTTCTAAATTCTCTGAATTCTTCATAGCCATCATTTTTTAGGGTACAGTAATACTCTTATGTTCATATACTGTAGTTCAGCTGTTCCTCAAATGATGGGCACCCACTTGGTTTCTAGTTTTTTTTCTACTATAAAAAGTAGTGTTGTGTTTCTAAATTGTACTATGTGCCAACTTTTAACAACATAGCATAGCTCCACATATAATTTCTTATTTATGGAATAGCAATATAATCCTAAATTTTAAAATGCTCTAGTGAATCCAGATGTAGGCAGTGAAATTCCCAGTAATGCCAGAGTTATAGTAATGTTAATATCCCCAAAATTAGCCTTTCAGCAACTAAAATTATTTTTTGGCTCTGCAATTTGGTGATACCTGGAATTTGCTTCTCTTTACCACTCCAGCCCATCCTACTGCTGTTAAAATGATTTTAATTTTCCTCGAGCACAGATATTACCATGTGACTCCCCTACTCAACCAACTACAGCATTTTTCTGATGCCCCCAGGATAAATATAAACTCTTCTGTTAAGCTTTTTTTTTTTTTTTTTTTTTTTAACGTAGACAGTTGGGGTTAAGTGACTTGCCCAGGATCACACAGCTAGTAAGTGTCAAGTGTTTGGTCTGAGGCCGGATTTGAACTCAGGTCCTCCTGACTTCAGGGCTAGTGCTCTATCCACTGCGCCACCTAGCTGCCCCCTGTTAAGCTTTTTAAGACCATTACAACCTGGTCCCAACTTCCCTTTTCAGCCTCATTGGACATTATTCCCTTCATGCACTATACACACAGTCAAATTGGTCTTTCTGTTCCTGACAAGACTGCTCCATCTCCTGTTGCAATGCTTTTGCATTGGCCAGCCCACATGTTGAGAATCCCCTTCTTTCTTACCTCTTCCTCATAGAGTCTCTTTTCCTTTAAGATGCAGTTTCAGACCTTATCTTCTGTGGAAAGCCTCTCCCAATCCTTCCAACTGCTAGAGCCCTTCCGCCAAACTGCCTTGTGTTTAGCTATGTTGTATAATTTTATACTTATTCATTTTCAACTTAAATGTTCTATGCACTTTTATATTTACTTATCTTCCGTATTAGAATGTAAGCTCATTGTCAATATGAACTCATTCATTCTTTTTACATATATATATCTAGCACCTATCACAGTGACTTGCAGTTGGTGGCACTTAAGGAGTACTTGCTGATTAATTGAATCTAAAGTGGAACATTATTCCATTTGTACTTGAGCAACCAGTTCCTTCTGGTCTGAATAAAGTCCTAATTAGTCATTTCCTTCCTTGCTCTTTCTACCTTTTGAAATGGCAGCTAGGTGGTACAGTGGATAGAGTGTTAGGAAGACTTCTCTTTCTGAGTTCAAATTTGGCTTCAGACACCTACTAGCTGGGTAAATCATTTAACCCTGTTTGCCTCAGTTTCCTCATCTGTAAAATGAGTGGGAGAAGGAAATA